AGGTGACGGAACTAGGGGTGCTGGAGAGTAATTTGTGACCGGAAATGGTCTGCATTCAGTTGGTTGTTACCATGCGTCAGTGATGTTGGAGTATATAGTACAGCAATATGGAACTACTATGTAGGCCTAATGAATGAATAAAGTTCGGAGTTTGTTTGTTTTGAAATGATTATTTCACATTTTAAGTGCTCCCTAAATAAGTGTAAGATAAATTACGGTGATTAATATAATTATCGAAGATATGGAGACAATTATTTCGAATCCCTCTTTCCAAGAGGGGATGCAAATGCTTTGTGAAAATGAGTACGCCGCGGTACTCATTTTCACAAAGAAATACACACAACTGGTTAGCTAACAATTATGTCAATGTTACATGAACACCTGGGAAGGAAGGTGCAATCACGTGGTTACCTAGCAAACGTCTGTACTGTATGGGGAGGGGCTGCTGATGTACTGTGTAATGGGGGACGATGAGGCATAAGACTAGGCCCAGGCCTAACTAAGACAGTGGAATTATATGTGATAGAAAGTACACTTTCGGAAGGAATAAATTAAATAAGAAAAAAAAATAACTAAGAATAATTCATTTGCAGAGGTACCTTATTTAAGTATTATTATACAATGCTAACAATGCGGCTCTTGGCCTGGTTTGGGCAAGGCATCCATGTGCAAAGCAGTGGTGTTTGTTTATCCATGAAGAAAGCACGCCGGGAAAGTTTGCCTTACTTACCTAACTATGTCACTTAATTCATTCTAATTAAAGAGAGCCACTGATTTGCCAATAACAGGCCCTTAACATTTTTGAGCTATAGATCGACTACAATGTACCTTAATATTTAATTCAATTAAATCAAATTTAGAACAAACTTAATAATGTGATTTTAAATGGTGGATTTGGGGAGGGGGGAAGAAAGAAAAATTGATCGTCCAAACGCATCAGGTTATATTCGGGCGATTAGAAAACAAAAATTTACCCCCCCCCCCTCTCCCATTTTTCGGGCCCGACTCCTCCCCTTTCGGACATCTCTGGATTCGCCCCTGAATTGGCCTACATGCCAGCAACTAAAGAACATAGGCTATTTATGGTTAGGCTGGGCATGTATTTTATGGTGATAGGTTAAAGCCCCATTCCCGGCAAAATTTCACTAAAAATGACTTTTTTTAGAAAATATGCATTTGCATTACTCCAATTATTATAAATCATGGAAAAATATTGGCATGAATTTTAGTTTTACGCAAAA